GTCCCTAGCCTAGAGATGATGTGTTCAGTCCCTCAGTCTAGAGATGATGTGTTCAGTCCCTCAGTCTAGAGATGATGTGTTCAGTCCCTCAGTCTAGAGATGATGTGTTCAGTCCCTCAGTCTAGAGATGATGTGTTCAGTCCCTCAGTCTAGAGATGATGTGTTCAGTCCCTCAGTCTAGAGATGATGTGTTCAGTCCCTCAGTCTAGAGATGATGTGTTCAGTCCCTCAGCCTAGATATGATGTGTTCAGTCCCTCAGTCTAGAGATGATGTGTTCAGTCCCTCAGCCTAGAGATGATGTGTTCAGTGCCTCAGCCTAGAGATGATGTGTTCAGTCCCTCAGCCTAGAGATGATGTGTTCAGTCCCTAGCCTAGAGATGATGTGTTCAGTCCCTCAGTCTAGAGATGATGTGTTCAGTCCCTCAGCCTAGAGATGATGTGTTCAGTCCCTCAGCCTAGAGATGATGTGTTCAGTCCCTAGCCTAGAGATGATGTGTTCAGTGCCTCAGCCTAGAGATGATGTGTTCAGTCCCTCAGCCTAGAGATGATGTGTTCAGTCCCTCAGCCTAGAGATGATGTGTTCAGTCCCTCAGTCTAGAGATGATGTGTTCAGTGCCTCAGTCTAGAGATGATGTGTTCAGTGCCTCAGCCTAGAGATGATGTGTTCAGTGCCTCAGTCTAGAGATGATGTGTTCAGTCCCTCTGTCTAGAGATGATGTGTTCAGTCCCTCAGCCTAGAGATGATGTGTTCAGTCCCTAGCCTAGAGATGATGTGTTCAGTCCCTCAGTCTAGAGATGATGTGTTCAGTCCCTCAGTCTAGAGATGATGTGTTCAGTCCCTCAGTCTAGAGATGATGTGTTCAGTCCCTCAGTCTAGAGATGATGTGTTCAGTCCCTCAGTCTAGAGATGATGTGTTTCAGTCCCTCAGTCTAGAGATGATGTGTTCAGTCCCTCAGTCTAGAGATGATGTGTTCAGTCCCTCAGCCTAGATATGATGTGTTCAGTCCCTCAGTCTAGAGATGATGTGTTCAGTCCCTCAGCCTAGAGATGATGTGTTCAGTGCCTCAGCCTAGAGATGATGTGTTCAGTCCCTCAGCCTAGAGATGATGTGTTCAGTCCCTAGCCTAGAGATGATGTGTTCAGTCCCTCAGTCTAGAGATGATGTGTTCAGTCCCTCAGCCTAGAGATGATGTGTTCAGTCCCTCAGCCTAGAGATGATGTGTTCAGTCCCTAGCCTAGAGATGATGTGTTCAGTGCCTCAGCCTAGAGATGATGTGTTCAGTCCCTCAGCCTAGAGATGATGTGTTCAGTGCCTCAGCCTAGAGATGATGTGTTCAGTCCCTCAGTCTAGAGATGATGTGTTCAGTCCCTCAGCCTAGAGATGATGTGTTCAGTGCCTCAGCCTAGAGATGATGTGTTCAGTCCCTCAGTCTAGAGATGATGTGTTCAGTGCCTCAGCCTAGAGATGATGTGTTCAGTCCCTCAGTCTAGAGATGATGTGTTCAGTCCCTCAGCCTAGAGATGATGTGTTCAGTCCCTCAGTCTAGAGATGATGTGTTCAGTGCCTCAGCCTAGAGATGATGTGTTCAGTCCCTCAGCCTAGAGATGATGTGTTCAGTCCCTCAGTCTAGAGATGATGTGTTCAGTCCCTCAGTCTAGAGATGATGTGTTCAGTCCCTCAGTCTAGAGATGATGTGTTCAGTCCCTCAGTCTAGAGATGATGTGTTCAGTCCCTCAGTCTAGAGATGATGTGTTCAGTCCCTCAGTCTAGAGATGATGTGTTCAGTCCCTCAGTCTAGAGATGATGTGTTCAGTCCCTCAGTCTAGAGATGATGTGTTCAGTCCCTCAGTCTAGAGATGATGTGTTCAGTCCCTCAGTCTAGAGATGATGTGTTCAGTCTCTCAGTCTAGAGATGTATTCTGTCTCTCAGCCTAGATATGATGTGTTCAGTCAATCAGTCTATAGATGATGTGTTCAGTCCCTCAGCCTAGAGATGATGTGTTCAGTCCCTCAGTCTAGAGATGATGTGTTCAGTCCCTCAGTCTAGAGATGATGTGTTCAGTCCCTCAGTCTAGAGATGTATTCTGTCTCTCAGCCTAGATATGATGTGTTCAGTCAATCAGTCTATAGATGATGTGTTCAGTCCCTCAGCCTAGAGATGATGTGTTCAGTCCCTCAGCCTAGAGATGTGTTCTGTCTCTCAGCCTGGAGATGATGTGTTCAGTTAATCAGTCTATAGATGATGTGTTCAGTCCCTCAGCCTAAATATGATGTGCGCAGTCCCCCTACATGGAGTCTACCTGGAGGGCATTCCGGGGATCAACGCCCCAGCGGCCCGGTCCACGACCAGGCCTCCCGGTGGATCAGGGCCTTATCAACAAGGCTGTTACTGCTGGCTCTATGCAATCCAACGTACGAACCACAGCCCGGCTGATCCGGCACCATCTTTAGGTATCTGTCCAGCTCCCTCTTGAAGACAACCAGGGATCTTCCGGTAATGCCCCTTATTGCTGGTGGGAGGCTGCTGAGCAGTCTTGGTCCCCGGACAGTTAATGCGTTTTCTCTTAGTATACAAGTGACGCTCCTACTTTTCACTGGGGGTATGTTGCATCGCCTGCCCAGTCTTTTTCTTTCTTATGGAGTGATTGCTGTGTGCATATTAGGGACCAGTCCCTCCAGAATCTCCAGGTGTAGATTATGATATATCTCTCTCGCCTGCACTCCAGTGAGTACAAGTCAGTACAGACTGAAAGATTTGTTACCTCAAGCTTCCTCGTCCCATTATCCACCGTTGGTCTCGGTACTGGACTGATGAAGGCACTAGCTGGCCACGTTTTACACAATAAGCCTACCCAAGTTTTGCTCAAGTATCTCATTCATTAACTTCACTATTTTAAGAAACATTTATCTGATAAACCTGATGAACCATGATAACCTAAAATCACACTTATGAAAGGACGCTTGAATGGCTACGCTGTTGGAGGCTGTAATGGGAAGCATCGTGTGTCATGTATACAAGGGTATGACGAGACTGAGAGGACAAACCGCCAAGACTGCATCTAGTTTTCACCTTGTATCTATCGGGCATAGGAAAGACTGACAACTTGATGTCACCCACTGCTAGAAAGCTTGATAATCCTCACTTTCTAATATTTGGAGGAAGTAAGCTTGGAGGGAAGCACATACGACAGAAATAAACATATAGAGAAGCACATACGACAGAAATAAACATATAGAGAAGCACATACGACAGAAATAAACATATAGAGAAGCACATACGACAGAAATATGCACATATGACAATATTAAACCAGAAGAGGCAATAGCAATAGTAAGGAAACGAGACAAGAATATGACCACTGAGATATTATATTTTTCATATCACGTACAAAGAAACATTTTATATCCTTCATCACTACTCTGTCTCTGTCTCTCTCTCTGTCTCTGCCTCTCTTTCTCTGTCTCTGTCTCTATGTCTCTATCTCTGTCTCTGTCTCTATGTCTCTATCTCTGTCTCTCTGTCTCTGTCTGTCTGTCTGTCTGTCTGTCTGCCTGTCTCTCTCTCTCTCTCCCTCTCTCTCTCTCTCTCTCTCTCTCTCTCTCTCTCTCTCTCTCTCTCTCTCTCTCTCTCTCTCTCTCTCTCTCTCTCTCTCTCTCTCTCTCTTCTCTCTCCGTACTTTTCCCACCCGCTATCTTGCTCACAGTTTAATAAAAAATTAGGTTTAGCATATTCATATTAAACATGAATTTTCTGAATAGGATATTTCTCATTAGGATCTCTCATTACCCAGGTGGCAGCTGCAACAGTACACATTACCCAGGCAACAGCTGCAACAGTACACATTACCCAGGCAACAGCTGCAACAGTACACATTACCCAGGCAACAGCTGCAACACTACACATTACCCAGGCAACAGCTGCCACAGTACACATTACCCAGGCAACAGCTGCAACAGTACACATTACCCAGGCAACAGCCGCAACAGTACACATTACCCAGGCAACAGCCGCAACAGTACACATTACCCAGGCAACAGCTGCAACAGTACACATTACCCAGGCAACAGCTGCAACACTACACATTACCCAGGCAACAGCTGTAACAGTACACATTATCCAGGCAACAGCTGCAACACTACACATTACCCAGGCAACAGCTGCAACAGTATACATTACCCAGGCAACAGCCGCAACAGTACACATTACCCAGGCAACAGCTGCAACAGTACACATTACCCAGGCAACAGCTGCAACAGTGCACATTACCCAGGCAACAGCTGCAACAGTACACAGTACTCAGGCAACAGCTGCAACAGTACACATTATCCAGGCAACAGCTGCAACACTACACATTACCCAGGCAACAGCTGCAACTCTACACATTACTCACGCAACAGCTGCAACACTACACAGTACACAGGCAACAGCTGCAACAGTACACATTACTCAGGCAACAGCTGCAACAGTACATATTACCCAGGCAACAGCTGCAAGAGTACACATTACTCAGGCAACAGCTGCAACAGTACACATTACCCAGGCAACAGCTGCAACAGTACACATTACCCAGGCAACAGCTGCAACACTACACATTACTCAGGCAACAGCTGCAACACTACACATTACTCAGGCAACAGCTGCAACAGTACATATTACCCAGGCAACAGCTGCAACACTACACATTACTCAGGCAACAGCTGCAACACTACACATTACTCAGGCAACAGCTGCAACAGTACATATTACCCAGGCAACAGCTGCAACACTACACATTACTCAGGCAACAGCTGCAACAGTACACATTACCCAGGCAACAGCTGCAACACTACACATTACTCAGGCAACAGCTGCAACAGTACACATTACTCAGGCAACAGCTGCAACACTACACATTACTCAGGCAACAGCTGCAACACTACACATTACTCACGCAACAGCTGCAACACTACACAGTACTCAGGCAACAGCTGCAACACTACACATTACTCAGGCAACA